ACCTAGTAAGTTCTTCGATATATACACATATATTTAACTTTACTTTTATTTGAAAATTAGATGCTTTTATATATTCTAGATTTCATTTACCACTTACTTTTTATTTACTCCAATATTTACATAAAAAATCAGAACACGTTCAAATAATAATTTAATAATCTAGGTTAGCTTGAGTCAGCCAGTCAAAACGATCATAATTAATGTACTGAAGGTGTTAAAAACTCGTTTTAACAGTTCATAAATGTAATTAACACAATTAGAATACACTGCGACGCACAAATGTCAGGCAAAAAAGTCATGTCAACGCAGCAAAGTGTCAACAAAGCGTCAAAGAAGTGAAATACCACAAGCGAAGTGTGTCAACAGTTTTGAACCAAAATGACAACGAGTATATTTCAACTGAATTTTTTGGTTGAAAAATAAAAAAAAGCTCTTTATTTCGTGAAAAATGAAAGCTACACAATCAAACGGAGTTTCATACTTTGGTATGTGTGTGACTTGGAACGCGTGCCCATTTTGTGTTTTGTTCCTTTTAAATGGTGCACCGTTAGTTTGTCTGCAGAAGTGAGGTAAAAATGTCTATTGCTGGTGTTTTTTTTTATTTCTGCCTGTATCTGAACGGTGTTAGGTCGTTTTTGTTTTTAACACGCGTTGACACGCGCGCAAATGTTTTGAGATAAGAGTGAGTATGAATCTAACATGCAACCATTTTGGCTAGTTCCAATTTAAATTTAATTAATTTATTTTAGTTCGAATTATCTATAAGATACCATTATAGGGTAATACGAGTATTTGACAATATTTTTGCTGTTACAATGTCCACTTCTCTGAGAACACCTATATTTTCTGCCTTCTTGGCGGCTAATATCAATCCTAGCAGCTTCGCCAGGTTCATTGAAAGTGTTCAAGTGAAAGTACTGTGAGCAAAAAATAGACTCGTTTATTTTTAATTTCACATGAAAACCCATTCGTCGGAATACTTTTTTTCTGTGCCAAATGTCACATCAAAATAAATATTTGCGTTTAATATGCGCTTGTCTTTCTGAAATAAGAAAGTGCATTCGGCGATTTTTACGATATGTGAAATTATTCAACAAAGAAGTTCCTTTAAATATTGTATGCGGACTAAAATTTCAGGTGTCGAAACGTTCAGAATGTTGGAGAAGGACTTCGGCGATAACTGTTTGTTGCGAGTAAGTGTTTTTGATTGCTAAAATTATTCAAAGAGCGTCAAGAATTCGTTGCGAACCACGTTCTGGACGGAAGTCAACATCAACTGATGATCAACACGTCAATAAAGTAAAGGAATTAGTGTTTGGGAATCGACGATTAGCAGTCAAAAATCTTACTGGCATCGTTTGAATATCAGAAGGATCAGTGAAACAAATATTCAAAGATCATTTGGATCTTACAAAAGTGAAAGCACGATTGGTTCCAAAATTTCTAAATTTTTGCGAAAAAAAACGTCGCATTAAAGTCTGCGGAACAATGCTTTGCGACTACAAGGATGTCATGAAACGTATTATTACTGACGATGAGTCTTGGATCTTTGATTACGACTTAGAAACGGAGGATCAATGAGCCGTAGCCAAAAGAACCACGTCAAAGCAGGTCGAAAGCAAAATTATATTGACAGTTTTCTTCGATTATCGATGTATGGTGCACTCCGAATTTGTTCCGAGCGGAATAACTGTCAATAAAAAATACTATTTAAGTGTTATGCGTCGTTTACGCGAAGCTATTCGTAAAAAAATTTCGGAATTATGGGCAGACAACTCTTGGTTTTTGCACCACGATAATGCTCCGTCGCATCCTGCATTGATGCTTCGTGATCTTTTTGCCAAATTTTCAACCAATATCGAGTCGCAATTACCGAATTCGCCTGCTTTAGCTAAGTGTTACTTCTGGCTATTCAGTAAACTCAAATTGTTTCGAGGATTGAAAAAAAAAACGATGGCACAAGTGTATTGGGGTCAGAAAGCGTTTTTTTTGAGATCCACGTATACTTTGAAGAATAAACTAAGATTTTTAAAATTATGATCAAAGTCTTACTGTTTTTGTTCATAGTAGTATGAATATTTTTATTACTACGAGCATATTGTCATAATTTTATATTAATTATTTATGTCTTTAAAAAGCCTTCATTAGTTTTTTGTTGTACTTGTCCATGAGATTGGATGCCCTAGAAAACATTTCGTGGTCAGTAGCAACCGTTATTTGTACTCCAATTAACAACTTCTTTTCTACACATTTCCTCTTTTGGGTGGTGATGCGCAGCTTGAGTCTCAGCCAACAATAAAGCTCGTCAGCTTGCTAAGCTATCATTACTGTTATTACTTATAATTTTTACTCACTGCAGTACTAAATATGTTTATAGTTTTTTTACCCGTGTGCACTCATATGTTTGCATATATTAACTCCCGCAGGGCAATTGTGTACCATAATTTGTGCAACGGTTGGTTATCTGTGCACCTAACAATTAAACGATTTAATTAACACATTCACTTTTACTTTTATTTCCACTCTTAAGAGTGTTTGCCGCTTAGTTAATTATTCATACTTGTACAATATGAGCGTACAAAAACAATATATTGTAGACAGAGTAAAAATTTCCTATAAAATCCGAATTTAGAATTGAAAATTTCACTTTTTTATTTATTGTTTCAGAATAAGCAGAAATCAAGCGCGGATGGTAAGAGCAGCTCAGCCGAAAAATCGTCAAAATCAGGCAGTGCCAACGGTGTAAACAATGGTAAGAGCAATAACAACAACAACAATAATAATACTACTCGAGAGAACAACAATGTTTGCGGTAAACACATATCGAATGGCAAAACAAATTGGAATGCAAAGGTGAGTCTCTTCTCAATTATTTTATTGATGCGGTTGTTCGGTAAATTTGAGATAAGGAAAATATCTCTAGAATTACTATTGTGTGATATTGCAATCGATAAGTTCGTTCGAAGTAAAAAATGTTCTCATAGATAACATATTCGGTAAGAGTGCACCCAAGGGGTTTGGACAGGTAGTTTTTTTTTTTACTATTAAAAATTTTAAATAAGCTTAAGGGGTTACATGAGTTTCTTCGGGTAAAAACAGCCTTCTTTTAAATTTTTTTCTCATATAAAAAATTAAATATTTTATTCGAACATTTTATTGTTACAAACACACACGGCCATTGTGACACCATTTCCGGTAACCTCTCGGAAAAAAGATGCGTTCGCGTTGGCAGGATAACTGCTTACAGGATCATCTAAAATAAAAATAACTTGGAATTTGGACGCTTGACACTTATACTGACTTATATTTTAATATTAGTTTACTAAATATACTATTTTTTCCGGGTGATTGTATAATAATTTACAGTCACAAAGCCCTATAAATATTACTTAGATTAGTTTAGATGAAAGTTGAGGAATGCACTGCAACCAGTGATTCCTTCTTTTATCACATCACTTCATATAACCTTACTGTATTAAGAAGGCTTAGTAAAGAGTCTGAAATGATGGATGTCAAATGTTCTCTTATTGTATTCATTTTCAATAGCTTGACGGGGAGTCTGGTCGTTGGGAGCAATCAAATATAAAACTTTACTCGCTAGCTTAGTTTGTCTCAGGAGCATTTTGTTGCTTGAATCTTTTTATTGAATTTTTCCAGAAGCAGCGATTTCTACAAACCATCTCCTGATTTCGTAGCACCTCCTATAATGTGTATAGGCCCACAGTGACGAAATGCTGTAGCTTTATTGTTTTGTCAGTTAGAATTTCCTTTAGTGCCTTTGTGCACAAATTGGCTGCTAATAATGAGGGTGTTGACTCAAGAGTGGAGTCCTATCAGTTACATTTACTACTTGTGATATTTTGAACTTTTCGAGGTAATGATGTCTCTAGCAAAAAGTGCCATCGGAGATTTTTCTCAATGACCATCTATTTCTTTGTGTTTATGATCCTGTTCTGATGGCACTAAGGCTAAGAGCCTGGCCTCTTACCATCATTTTGTACTTCTGTCATTTCGTCAGATTTGGTAGAAGTTCGTTTACAATAGAATTTCCTCAGAATTGCTCTTTCATCTCTAGCATATATACCAGGTTGTTCAATAAGTTTCGTCGTTTGATAAGGAAAGCACAATTGTATGATTTATAACACACTTACTAAAATCTGTGGATGCCATCCCTGAAGTGAGAATCCGGAAGGTCTGCAAAATACGCTTCAACATCCGTTATGCTTGCGACGCATGCATTTTTTGAGTTCTGGAAATAAATGGAAGTCACTGGGGGCCAAATCTGGTGAATATGGTGGATGCTCCAACAATTCGAACTTTAATTTATGGATTTTCGCCATTGTCAAAATGCATTGTGCATTGTGTTGATGAAAAAGGAATTTTTTCTTCTGCAAACCGAGTCTTTTTTCACGAAATTTTTCCTTCAACTGGCCCAAAAGGTTGCAATAATATTCAGAATCAGTTGTTTTACCATTTGGCAAGTAATCCACAAATAAACATCCCCTCGCATCCTAAAAAACTGATGCCATAATCTTCTTTATCAATTTTTGGATACAAACGCGTTTCGAAGTCTAACCACCAGGTTCACACCATTCTTTAGCCTCTTGTTTAGATTCAGAATAACGGTGATATAGCCATAGTGATAAATCGCCGCACAAAAGACAGTTTATCCTTTGTTGCTGAGTATGTCCCATTCGAATGTTTTGACTTCTTAATTTAAACGCGCAAACATGCGATTTAATATCAGTCTTAGCTATAATGTTATGCTTTTCCCAAAACTAAAAATCTTTTTCTAACTGTTTTTTTTTCTATAATGCATATCAACATGTTTTAGCTACATTATGTAAATGTAAAAAATCATAAATTCCAATTTGACTAACAATTACATAGTCGCGTGGTGCCACGCTCTGACATAAAAAACAAGGAATGCTTACGATTACATCTGTAAAGTAATTTTTTGACCGTCTTAACTGCACGTCTTCAGCACACTGACTTTTATGACATTAACACAATTAATATTTCTATTACGCTTATCTTCCCGCTTTATTTCGTTTTCTACTGCTAGAAATAGCGTACATACGCACATAGAAGTAGAGAGAGAAAAGTAGAAAAGTTTTCCTTATTGACGATCACGTAATTGAGATCAGCGCTTCTGCTTTATAAAGCGTTTTTAGAGCAAAAATATGATGTACGTATAGTAAAAGTACACAAGTCCAAATGCACTACTGTACTTATATTAGGGTGAGCACTTTGATTGGTTGGTTGAAAAGAGAGGGCCATCATTGTGGTCCCGGGTGGTAACGAAGTTATGTCCTATCCAGCAAGCCTGTGGATTTGGTAAAATTCTTGATTTTTCCACCCTAGCTGCCTAGTAGTATTCCTTAAGTTGAAGTGTTGGGAACCGTTTAATATATTCCATCTCTCCGTATGTTCTGCATTCCGCCCAATTCACTTTTCCTATTTTGTGAAGAAGTGGTTTTAAAAGTAGGTAGTAGAGGTGTGAGCACCAATATTACTAAGTTCCATTTGGCCTAAGAGTATAAGCTTTTTAGTTTGTAAACCATCAAGACTACTCCAAAGTAACTTTGGGTATGCCCACAAATGCTAGTATAACAAGGCCTCAGGTGTTTTTTCACTAGAATTTCCTATAGTGTCTCTATACCATTGAGGGTTTAGATTTGTAGGTCAAGAGTGGAGTCTTCCCAGTTGCTTTTCCTACTTTTGATATTTCGAACCTTTTTTCAAAGAATCTATATTTTCTTATTAATGCCGTCTCTGGTAAAAAGTGTCTGGGTATATTTTCCGTGACCGTCTTTTGGGTCCATTGCCTTAAAGGAACTAAATGATCTTGGGCAGCTGAGGGAAATTGTGTTTCCAGCTGCCTCAGAGCTGGCCAACTCGTCTGCTTTTTAATTTGTTTCCATTTGTATATGACTTAGTATCTAGATGTTTTAACTGGGTTATCTACTGAGAGTCTAGTTATTGCTAGCTTGCATAACCTAGCGCAATCGTTTACTATACTATTAAAAAGAGGTCTCAACTATTACAGAACTTTGGATCTGTATTTTAAACTATTTCCTCTAAAGAATGTGGTTAGCTCGACTAATATACTTTATTTAACAATGATAAAATTTAGACAAAAAGAAAAATATATTGTCATTAATACAAATCTCTATAATCGTCTTCAAAAAAGGCTCCTGAGCCAAAACTAGCTCGTCAATTGTTAATCCAATTTTTCATACATTTGTTTAAGCTTCGGCTAAGTTGGCCTTTGGTGTCTTAAGAAGAAATTTTGACTTCTTCGGTTTCGGCTCATTTTTTTACTGCTGCCAAACACACTGGGAAATTTTTTTCTTTTGATTTCACGTAGAGTTACAGTAACCCCTTGTGGGTTTCTTCAGGTAAAAACAGCTCTTTTCCATCCATTTTTTCCTCAAATAAAAAAGGAAATATTTTATTAAAATTTTTATTATTACTAACATACACAATTAACAAAGAAATTTTGCAAAAATATTTTTTAAACTCGGCCATTGCGACGCCATTTCCGGGTACCCCTCGGAAAACACATGCTTCCGCGTTGGCAGGATAACTCCTTACCGGATTATCTAAATTGAAAAAAATACGTGTTTTAGTTAAAAATTAGAAAAGAAGAACTTAAAATTAGATTTTTGGCAGATATCTTTATAAAAAATGAAAATTTCACGATATTTTTTTTCAAATAGTTTTAATCGAAGAAAAATTCTTCGTCCAAAGAATTATATCTCAAAGACCTGTGTAAAAATTAAATGAAGATCGGTTGAGTAGTTGTCGAGAAATCTTACCAACCAACTTCAAAAACACAGTTTCATAGCTAGCCTCGAGCTCATAAGTTCTCCAGGCTGTATCTCCTGGGACCTGGGTCTGAGTCAAATTTGATCAGATTTTATAAATAATTTTTGTTTTAACCTAAATAAGAACTTTTTTAAACATGCAAAGATAAGTAAACGAAGCGCAAAAAATATACTACATGAGAAAATTTTAATTGAGAGTTTCAGCTATATAAGGAATACTTTGAGGGAAGCTCTGACTTCAAGACTCGTTTTCAAAGGTTTTATGACGATTTTACTTATTGTTTTAAAATTATTAACTACTTCAAATTTGATCACTCCATTACTATTTTTTGTTTGAATTTCTTTAATGCTTAAGTAAAATTAAATTATCTATCATCAGTGTCTCATCCCAAATATATAAAAATTCTATATAAAATGTCACACCCTAATGTAGTACTGTGTAATTAAGTATTCGCACTAACGAAGCAGTTTTTTTCAATTTTTTATTTTGCGCTCATTTGTCGAAATTGCGATCTATGAACCATGCAAACTGACATGGTCAATAAAATATAAATTGTATTGTGCCACAGGCATCTACATATCAAATAAACATACGGTTTTTGCACATTATGAGCAGTAGGAAGAATGGACATTGAAAAAGAAATAGAAATATGAGCTGCCGTTGTTTATGCAGCAGTCGAATAGATGAAGGAAAGAAAGTCGGCTGAATAGTTATGAAAACCAGCGTTGAAGAGAAGAGAGAAGAAAGACCCCAGTGACGTTTACGCTTGCGCAATGAGGAAGAAAAAACTCGACAATAATAAACACAAAAGAAAAGCGAATCGTCTTACGCATCAGAAGACGGCAATTTGTTGTTGCCGGTCAAGCAGAGCTACAAGTAATGGCAGAAAGTCATATTGCGCATTATGTTGCATGCAACATTTGTGCATTTACTATGGCATATGACCAGCTAAAAGTATATGTACATGTGGCAGCGTAGTCGTTTGTCCATACATGTGTACTAATAAGTACATACATATGTAC